TTATAATTATAACTCTGTAATATTATGGGAACTAGATTCAACAGGGAGCACACTCGTTATAGTTTCTAAAAGCACTTGTGGCAAATCTAGCTCACCAGTCTAAAAGTCTTCTTATGCTAACTTTCTTAGAAAGAAACTAAAATTGTAAAATATCAACAAACTGGTACCACTAGGAGTATTCCGAGGACTGATAGTTCATTCAGAGAAATCTCTTACCCCTTTCCAAGCTTTCCCTGCAGAGGTGGAAGAAGCACACCAGCGTTGGGAGCTGCCTGCCGCCCCAGAGTCATCTCACAGCAGGCTCCCATGCTGGGAGTTCTCTTGTTCTCAGAAATTTTATATCATGCCAAATACATCACGATGAAGACATTACGTTCCAAATTGCATGTTTTCATTAAAGCTTTCATTAAGCGTAAAGTGTGTAGTAGTTTCATTACTGTTTCCATTTTAATTCAGAAGGTGGTTTTTTGACAGTGTATTTCTGCAATTTCTTCCAGAATCTTAGTTTCCCTTTGGGTTAATGCATTAAATACTGCAATTCTGATTCATTTTAATTTTCTCTGTAATACCTCAGCTATCACAGTGTGGCTATTTAATATATTCAATAAATATCATTGAAATGCCTGCTTTTAAAAAGTTTGTGCTATAACAGAATAAAGTATGAAATTTGAAAGTGAGACCATAGAATTTGTAAATCCCCCAAGTGTGTCATTCACATGCCCTGCTCCCACTGAAATTTAGCAAAATAACTTAGATTTGATAGCTGCTTAGCTTGAAACACTAAATAGGACTTGAAGATTTATTAATAAGGGATACATTTTAACCAGGATTATTGTTTCGAGTATTTAAACATCAAAGTAGATTTCTTTTAACAAATAGGGAAGCATATATAAATGCATTTTGAAAGCCTAATATGTTAAAAATTAAATGTATTTTGAGAACTATACATCCCCAAACCCGCTGCTGTCAAGTTGATGGCAACTTACAGTGACCCAGTAGGGCATAGGTAGAACTGCCCATCGTTCTCCCTGTTGAGCTGCGACGTGAGTTTGAAGTGCTGGTCTTTTGTTTGGTAACTGAGGACTTCGCCACAGCACCATTGGACTCCCTTGCAAACTGTACCATTAATTGATGATTCTAGTCTCACTGAACGGTCATATGCTTCTCAGCCTCTAGTACATTTGACAGTCTCAGGTAACTAATTCAACTATTAAAAATTGTTGAGAGTCCTATGAAGATGGAGTTCACTTGATTCCCGTTATCTACACTGACTAGTTTAACAGGCACTTAGAATTTGTGACAGAAAGTACTCAAATGAAGCAGCAATGATTAAATTCCCTCATAAGTTTTCCTTTTGTTCTTTATATAAACATATTTTTGATATTTAATATTCTGTGACTGATTTGGCACTTTGTCCTTTTCATTTGAATTGGAATGTGCATAAAAAAAATTTTTTTTTCCTTAGGAAATCATATCTATCATTCAGATGAGAGGAGTTACAAAATGAGTTTGGCATTTTTTCCAGTGGTGCAGGAGGTCAAATGTAGATATTTTATGACACAGAATTATGCGAACTCCAAATGTTAGTGTTTAAAGATAGGTCTATGAAGACGGCGTGCCCAGTTGTTTATGTGGTCTGCTGCTGCTTTGAGATAACAGCTAAGTAGTTGTGACAGACAATCGTGTGGCCTACAAAGCCCAAAATCTTTTCTCTAGTAGCCCTTTATAGAAAAGGTGTACTAACCCTGGGACTAGATGGTTCTCTAATATTTTGGTTCCCCAGATGGTGCAGAGGGTTAGTTGAAAGATTGGAGGTTCAAGTCTACTCACAGGGACTTCAAAATAAGAGGATGAAGAAAAGGAAAGCCTGCTGTACTTCCCCAAAATCTATCACTTTGAGGGCTGTGGAGCCCAGTCTTACTTGCCCACACATTTCCTTGGCCCCTAGCAGTTGGGATTGACTCCATGGTAACTGGTACTGATAATTTTTATATGTCAGGTCAGTTTCTGTTATGTGATGCACAGTAGAGCAATCACTTGCAAGATTTTTTCATTTGAATTGAGGAAATAGTGGAGTTAACATTTCACAGGGTAAGAGAGGAAGTAGTCAAATGTAGTAAGTAGGAGAAGTGAGAAGAGGCACATCTCTGCAGGCCAGTAGTTACTGGAGTCTGGTGTCAACAGGTCATCTTGGAGAGGAATATGAGTGGAAGCAGAATTGAGCTTAATGTATACAAATAGCCATGAGAATATTTTGGAAATCTTTTGTAGATTGGTAGAAACAGAGAGGATCTGTATGATTATTTGTGTTATTATGAAAAGGGATAGAGCCATTCAAACTCTGAGCAAAATTATGATCTAATCTTTTCACTGTCTCAGATTCTGTTACATATCTACATTTTCTGGAATCTTCATTTCATCTGTTGGGATGAACTTCCTTGCCCCCAAAGTTTTATGAGGAACCAGGGACTTGTGTTTGTTCTTTCTTCGTTGTTAATGCATCAGAGTACATAGCATGGATAATCTCTCTTTTGAGCTTTACTTCTACTTTAAGGTATATTTTGAAGGGATTGTCTAAAGCTACTTGGAACTTTGGCTCTAATCACTGGGTGACATAAATGTTAAAAGTGCCCAGGTACTCTCCAAAAGGTTGGCGGTTGGAACCTACCTGCAGTTCTCTGCCCAGGAGTTCCTGAACCAGAGTCAGTTTGCCAGGAGAGCTTGCCCAGATTGTGGGGGTACAGGAAGCAGCCCTGAGCCTCAAGATACTGGCAGTATCATGGCTTATTTTTCTTTAGGGTCACACTTTTTGGAAGTCCAGTGACATTGCTATCCTAACCCAAATTCATGCTAGTGTTGGTTTGCTATATGAAATGTAAATAATTGAATATATTTGGGATGCTCTTCTTTTCCCAACTTCAAAACTTTGGCATTGTCTTTAGGCATCATCATTTTCTTCGGTGAGCTGGCATTTATGATTGTAATTGACACTTTTAAAATGACATGGTAAAAAAATTAAATTAAAAAAAAGCATGCTATAGTACTTTGTTCTTTTTCTAAGGCATAATATTTGCTGTCAGCTTTAAGCTAGTATTTCTATTGGCCCTAAGCTCAAGGGTTTATTTTCATTTTTATATGCCTGTAGGAATGATTATAAATGCTTAATGCTCTCGTTAATTAATCTTTTCAAATTTTAAGCAGTTAACTTTTTATCTTCCTATGGCAACTTATTTTTTTGTTGAAATTATTTTATAGTAGATCTTCTCTAGACCATTTAGATTACTTTCTAAAAATAAAACACTCGGGTGATTAGCAATCCATATACATATAAAAATGTGATTTAAGTGACACCGTTTTGCACAAGAGTAATTAATATAACTGCCTCAAATTTGTCATTTCCTTATGTAATAATTAACATGTTAAAAAATAAGAAAATTTGGAAATTATTTTCATTGGAATTCCCAACCAATGAAGTCTTACTTACTGTAAGTAAGGGAAATGTCAGTTTTCATTTGTAGCAATTTCAGGCACTGCTACTTTATATTCTCAATTGTTGGTTAGAGAATTTTCAAGTCTTTTTTGCCTCTTGTCAAACTGGATTTGAACTTCCACCTTTCTTCAAAGTATATAGAGCATTTCTTTATCTCATGCTTAAAAAAAGAAGTGCTCAGTGTGATAATCCAGAGTCAGATTTTTTTGTTTCTGAGATCAGAGCTTTATAAGTATGATGGCTATACTGCTTCCTTACTAAATGGAAAATCCATGTTTGCTCCTGATCTTACAACTTTAACTTTCAAAATGATTTTTGCCTTAACAGTAGCAACTGTTTGTAGGGACCATATACAGGGGGACTTCTAAAACTCCTTGGAAAGTGGAATTAAAAGGGAGTAGAAGGAATACTAACTTTTTTTGAAGGACCCTCATATATTAAGTCTGGATTGGTTGTTTCATTTGATGTAAAATATCTCCTCTAATCTAATATCACAGCTTAGCATGCTAGTAAATATGGAAGTTGTGTGTGTTTTCTTTTGCTGCCTAGTACTTGGCGGTTTTAATTTCTCCATCTGCAGTTACCAGAATGTTTTGTGTTTTTACAGGTTTACTTCACAGAACAGTGTGTATTCTTCCAGAGAGAAGCTGCAACATGGAATTGCTTTTTATTTCTTAAATTTTTATTCAGCATTCTAATTAAGGGTTTCAAGTTCAGCCATTTCTTTTATAATTGTGTTACTCGGATCTTTATAGTCTACCACCACCTACTTTGATCTGAATTTTGGCCACTCTAGAATATGTAAAATAGTTCTGCATTTAGTGATAGAAATCTTAACCCTGCGGATAAGTTTTTAGGCTAGTAATCAAAAGAAATGTTTATTAAAGTGTTCTGGGATGCTAAAATGTTATACAAGTTCTTAGTGCAAAACACAAACTAAACTGACTCCAGCCTCTAAAATCTGATGATAAATATTAATGTCAGGACATCCTTCTTAACTTCCACTTACAGTGTCACATGTTGGCATGAAATCTGCTTTGCGCAAACTTAAACTTCCTGGTAAACCAATTATTTTTGCATTTAGGAAGCCAGTTCTGAATGCCATGGACAATTTTAGTACATGTTTGTTTGTTATAATTTTATCCAAGCTAAAGGAATTAATTATTAAAATTAAATACAGATAATACAGAATTCAGTTTCAGGTTAAGTCTGAAGTTGGTATAAATTTAGGCTCTTCAGACTAACATAAACGTGATCTTGAGATATTAAATAGGAAGATGCCTTTTTAAAACCGTTGAGTATATTGATTTTTAAATTATCTCCCAAATCGTGCTTAGAAATCAATGATGTATAAGAGAGAAGTTAGTTGTAGAACTAGGATGAATGAAAAATTGCTATACATTTTTGTAATCTTTCGTATCACTCTCAGATAGTTTTAGTCAGTTCAGCAGGAGCAAGAACCGAGCTCAAAGGCTAATGGAATATAATTCAGTTTTTTTGTGTCATACAGCCTGAGAAATGCCAGTGGCCTGACAGCAGCAGACATTGCACAAACCCAGGGTTTTCAAGACTGTACCCAGTTTCTCTTGAACCTCCAGAATTGTCATCTGAACTGTTTCTATAATAATGGCACCTTAAATGGGGTTCATCAGAATGTATTTCCTAATCATATTAGTCTTGGAGCAAATCGAAAGAGATCCTTGGAAGAGTCGGACACCATTGGAGTAAAGAAAGCTAAAACTGAAGGTGAGACTGCTCTTTGGGTGGGAAAGAACAGCTGTTTAATTTCGCATCTTATTTATGCCTTAGAGCTCCTTCAAGCCCAGATCTTCACCGAAGGTGTTAAATGTGCCTCCCTGCTGCCACTTGGAGGATGGAGGGGGTCTCATAAGGAAGTAGGGTGTAAGAGGGCATGAAGTAAGGGGGCGGGGGTTATTGGTTATATCTGTTTGAAATGTAACTATTAAAATAATCTATCACTGTGCCTGATTTTTTTTTTTTAATTTTGTGTATGATTCAGAGATTATAAAAGCTGATGGTGGTATGGCACAAAAAGTTGTTTTTAATGTTTGGGGAAGTTAGGAGTCTCTAAGCTTTACCCTGTAAGCACTGTGATTTGCCCCTAGACTCTTCCACAGGGTCACTGCGTGTTGGGATCCATTCAGGCTGCAATGGCGGGGGCAGCAGGGGGGGTTGTTTTATGTCTTAGTTTGTATCCTGAAGTGGACGAATGTTAGGTTTGTCACTGTAGTTCGGAACTAGCAGCCACTCTGAAGGAGAAAGAGAGGCTTTCCCTTCCTGTAAAGAATTAAAGTTCAGTCATGGAAACTGACAGGGGGAGTTCTCTGCCTTACAGCATTGTTATCGTCAGAATTGACTTGAAGGCAGTGAGTTTGGTTTTTGATCACTTGATGAGGGAACTCTCAAAATGTGGGGAAAATCCAGTTTTTCATTCCATTTTTTCCATGAAGTTTTGAAACCACTTTGTGTGTGTGTGTGAATTTTTGTGTTTCTGTAAGTACAGGTTGTTACCTTCTTCACTCTTGGCTGCTCCATTTCTCTGGAATGGAGAACATGACATATTATTTCATTTTAACCATTATATGCTGAGTATGAAATGGACTGAGTAGGACATTTATCATTCTAGACAAAAATATTTTTTGAGCCAGTTACCCAAATGCTCAAAATCAAGTTTTTCTTAACTTGAATAACTAATTCTATTTTTCCCCCCCTAAATATGCAGTTTCAAAATATGTTGCTCTCATTTTTGTTGTTTTTCATTGTAATTTCTGGTGTGCTGTTTTAATTTGCTGTTTAAATGTGTGCAAGCTTAAGTTTTGGATTCAATTTAAATTGCTCATAAGTGAGACCCTAATTTTTTTCCTCTTGTAACATATCTAAAGTAATTTTTGAGTAGCTGCATTAAAAAAGTATCTAATGTTATTTCATAGTGCAATTTTGCTGTTTAATTTTTTTCACGGCATCTGAGATGTCTGCGTTCCATTTTCCATGAACTTTCTGAAGTTCTCACAGTTGACATTACAATGTTTTTCAGGTAGTCATTCCTCTCAATTATATTAAGGAAATTTGGTCCGAACACAGACTTGGGTAATTATTGGGTGCCCGTTCTGGATCCTGGCTGACTACATACGCCAGAGGCAACACTGCCCGCGGGGCCTGTGCTCTCTGCACAGTTGTCAGCGCCCCGACATCCTGGATGAGACGCAGTTGTGGTTTTGGTGGGATGGGGTGCCAGGGAGAATGAAGGAAAATTTGGAAGTAAATGATTTGGTTGATACTGATTTTGATGAAACGTTTGTTGGTAATGTTTTCTCCAGTTTGAAATGGTTCTAATAAGCACCAGTATGTGTGTATAGGTTTTATATATATGAGGGGTACCCCCCAAGGTTTCTCCCCCAAAGCTATGTAAATTTTTTTTTACAAAACAACCTCATTACCTTCAAAGTACTCTTCCATTACACAATACATTTGTCAAATCTGCGATTCCATTCTTGGAAACATTTTTCAAATGTATCTGGATGGCTGAGAGAACCTCCCTCGTTTTTATCTTCACCTCTGTCATCAAATTGCTATCCTTTCATGGCCCTCTTCATTCACAGAAACAAAAAAGTTACTCGGAATGAGGTCAGGTGCATGGGGTAAGAGGCATGCTGTTTTTGCCCAAAAAACTGGCTCACTGTGATGGCTGCTTGAGCAGGTACATTGTACTGGTGGCAAAACCAGTCCCGTCTGCCACAAATCAGACCTTTTTTGTTGCACATTGTTAAGATAATCTTTTCAGAACCTTTCTAAATAGAAAGTTTGATTAAGAGTCTGGCCTGGTGGAATGAAGCCCAAGTGCACTACAAGTGGGAATTTTTGTCCATTTGGGAAATTGACGGACACCATTATGAGGTTTGTCATCAATTGACATTTCACCTTTTTTGAACCAAGAAAACCACTTGAGTTTGTCTCATAGCACTGTTGTAAGCTGTGTTCAACATCACAACAGTTTCTGTGTTACTTTCCTGAGCAGGAAACAATTTCACAACCGCACGCTGTTCTCCTGTATCACATCAGCCATCCCCCAAAATTGAGGTTCAACTGAGGTTGCTTTTATGAGAAAATTCACTTTGACTAGAGAGAAACCTTCCAAGATGATGCCACTGGATACGCTGACTCGGAGCGAGTTGCCGGATGCGTTCTCCTAGTGGGAAAAGTGCATACTAAGAAAGCTCTGCTCTGGAGTTTTTTGAGAGGGTACCCTTGTATACTGGTGTTCCCTTGAAATAAGAATTTCAAGGAAGCAATGTGTGAGGCACACTCGTACACTTACTACAGGTGTTGCCCCCTTCCCTTAATACCAGCCATTTGCTCATGATAGGATAGTGGTGTTTCCCAAAGTGGCTGATGCTGCCCCTCGAGTGGTCATTGCTGAAACCATCCAGAGGATGGCTACAAGAAAAGAACCTACCCTCACTTAATCCTAGATTGTGGGCCATAGTACAAAGTTTTTTTAAATTGCCTGGGGCATACGGAATAATTTTGGTGTTTTTTTTCCCCCCCTGTGGCCCCATATGTTTTTGGGCCTTTTCCAGAGAGAGTTTTGAGTGTGACATGTGGTGTGTGTGTTTTGTGTGTTTGGGTTTGCCAGCCAACCTTCAGGAAGGCCTGGCCTCACCGTTCATCTCTGTCCCATGGAAACTCAAGTTATTCATAACCTGGTTAGAAAAGGGTGCCAGCCCATCCATGAGTAAAATTTCATCTTGCTTGTAATTAATAATCTGGTTGTAGCTCCAGAATTTTGATAGAAGGGAGCAGTTATGAATATTAGAAACCTAACTGAATCTATACCCTACATGATAGTGGAGACAGGAATTGTCATAAGACAGATTGGTAATAATCAGGTCTCAGGTGCCAAATTGATTTCAACCATGTTAATGATCTTCAAATTTCATAAAACATAGGTATTTAATAATAAAATTTAGAGGAAATACCTATGATGTTTTTCGATTTTAAATTATCGGCGGATCTTTTCTAAAGCACTCTTACTCAAGGATGAATCACACTGGTCAGATCATGGAATCTGTGGTTCTTGATTGTGTGTGTTGATGAGACTTGAATACTACGGGAGAATGAAGGTAATCTGACTTAGCGTGTCGTGTGATATGCTAAAGACATTGCCACTGTATTGCTACCCTCTAGCCCACTGATTGAGTACTTACAAATTACAGATGATAGGAATAAAAGAAAATATCTTAATTTCTAAACTCGGTTATCATTGAAGGGCGTTAGTAATTATCTGTAGGTTCTGGGAATAAGGGGCTGCCAGGATATCTGTGGAGGCGATAATGAACTCTAGGATCTGTAACGTGCTTTCCAGAGAGTTTTGTTTTCATAAAAATGCGGAAATGTGAAAGCTTGTGGTCGGCTTCATTTTTATCCTGCTTTATCAGTGAGAAGTTTTGTATCAGAATTGACAGGCACATCAACTAGAGCAGTTTCAGGCACAGCAATGCACAAGTGCACTGAACAGTGTGTGCCTGAAGGCTAGATGAAAGCCTGTTTCTCCTTGCCCAGACTGCCCTTTGGCCCTCTAGTGGCAGATATTGGAAGAAACCCTGGCTTTCTACTCCCACTAAGTGTCAGCATGGAGTTTGTCTCTTTTTATTTTAGTTTTTTTTAATAAGTGGTGGATACGCCCCAGTGCCTGCTTTCCGAAGTTCCCAATTATACCTATGCTTGCAAGTTCTCCCAAGGAAGGTTTGCCCTCCACAGTTCAAGACAAAATCACAGAATGAGCACATAGTTCCTTAAAGGTGTCTGGGTTGTATTTCCAGCAAAGCCTTTTTCTTTTTACCTAGTTAGTTCTGTGGTTTTGGTAGGCCAGTCCACCAATTCTCCATGCCAGGAAAAAGCATTACCTTGTTTGGCCTAGCAGACTTTATATAATGTGGAAAGGGCAGCGTTTTGGTAGTCAGAAGGATTTAAAGCCTGACCCATTACTGGCTGTTTTACTTGGTCTCCCTGTTTTCTGCACGAACCCAGAAGGATATGGGGGTTAGTCATTGGTACTAGTTCTCTAAAACTCTCGTGCCCCTCCTTCTTTAAAAATGTAAGATGCTTTGTTGACCACTGGTTTCGTTAAAATGAGCGTGCTTCCTGGGGAAGGTAGGGCTTTTCTGTCACTGTCCATGACCGTGGAGCTGTAAGAGAAATGATGGCCGTAAAAGACTTGAGATCTGGTTTTGAAGGAGCTTATGAAGGAGGCTTCAAAGAGTTCTTGGAAAAATAGAATACAAAAATGTCCTGGGGTATTCCGTGAAGTTTTTTAAGCCTCCACTTTTGACTTAGTGCTTGTGAGGACTTCTAGCCCAAACCAACACTCACACCACAAGTATACTTCTGTTTCTCTTCAGTAACCGTTAGAAAGTGGCTTTCTCCAGCACGAGCACTGTGTTTGTTGGCACCTTGCTTTGGTTTGGGGGAATAACCTGGAACTGCTCTTACAACTGCTTCTGTGGTGAAGATCATTCATGTCCTGAGAAGAACTGATTAAAGCTGCAAGGTTCAATTCTCCCTATTTAAATGTTGACCTGAAAGGACCACTTAGCACCACAGATTGTTGATTTGTTGTGTGTATTCTGTGATCCAGAAATGACAGTATTCATGGGAGTGAAAATCAGAATGGTACATTTGTAACAATGTTACAGTATTCAGGATAGGGGGAAAAAGTCCACTTGGAAGATAACAGTGAGAAATTTGGTAAATTGTAGCTATACAGATTATTATTCAACTTTTAGGATGCTTTAACAATTAATTGATGGTGAATGCATGCATGCCATGTTAAATTATTGAAAGTATAATTTATGATAAGTTTTTATAAACATGAGAATGGTTGATCCTTCAGGACAGGATTTACTAATGGAGTAGTATTTAGAGCAAAAGTGCTTAAATTTGCACATTAACTTCCACTGAGACTTGAGTCATTTCTAAGAAATGGACATTTTTAGGTTCTCCAAATGTCTTGGAACTTAGACCACTATATGTTGGTAGACAGAAATCAAATGCCACTCACATATTGATTCAACTGTCCAGAATCTCGACCTTTACCTAATTTAATTTGCTAATAAAAATCTGGATGTTTTTGAAATACAAAGATTGTTTTCCTTATTGCAAGTTGTCAATATACTTTTATAAAACATCATTTGAAAGACCATTTTTTATCACAAGATAGTGGGTGCTAAATTTAAGGGAAGTGCTTTGGTTGCAGAATACGTCTGTGGGCTACATGATAGTGCTTGATCTTCTTGAAGCCTGAAAGAGAGTGGTTTAATCAAGTGAACCAAGAATGATCTGAGGCTTATGAACTGTAGGAGAGACTTTGCATACTTGGCATCATTATATTACACTATGCTCATTAGTAACCTATAGATTTTTAAAACTTGACTGTTAAAAAGTGTAAGGTAACTTGACAAATGAGAAAGAAAAAGTGTTTGTCTTAAAGTCTTGTATTTACAAGAGAATCTGAAACCATCTTTATTTCCTGTGCAGCTCAAAGCTTGGATTATTTCATGTCACAAGTGAACAGTGAAGCAGAAGATGATGCTGACAAAATGCACGTTGATAGAGAATTTGCTGTTGTAACAGGTGGGAGTGGACAGTTTCCTGTTAACTGCAACAACAATCAAATGGTTGAAGACACCAGACCACAGGAGAGTGGTTCTGTTGGACCCAAAGAAATAGAAATCTATACTGTTTCAGCAATGCAAACCCCTTGCCGTTGCAAGAATCAGTATGCATATTATTTCTAACATAAGTTCCTATACAGTTCTTTTTTTTGCACTTTGTTGTCCAGTGTTTTTAAAGAATGTTATTCTTTTATTTGTTTATCTTGGACAAGTTTGTAGCTAAAAGGATAAGTATCTTGGGTGCATTTTATGGATATGAAAACTATAAGTGCAATTTTTCTGTTTTAATTTGAGGCTTTTGCTTAATGTGCCTTGCTTATTTTTAATGAGCTTTCCACATTTTTAATTTTCTGATACATGAACTTTGGGTAAATATGCCATTGCTAGTGATTTTACCACAATATACAGCAAAGACAACCAGCTGTCAACATTAAGAACTAGTAAATGTCGTCTTGACTTTGTAGTCCAAATATGCCCATCTAGAATCGTTACTGAACAGTTTTGGTTTCTGTGGCATTCAGAATTAGTCCTTAGAATATTATACTGTTTCACAAAACACAGTATATGTACCATTATGAAAAGAGTTGGTAGTCTTTTTCAGCACTTAAGACAGACTCATTTCTTTCTAGCATTTAGAATATCTTAAAAGTATCTATCAATAATTTAATGCTTTTTCCCTCTTGTTTGTTTTAAGTGGCTAAGAAAACTAGCCAGTTCTGTTCATGTTTGATATAGTTAGAAGTACATAAAGATTATTTATGTTACTATATTAACAAATCACCCTTTAATTAAAATTACTGTATCTTTTATGCTAAATTCTTCACTGGGGATAAAGAGTATGCCATTTGCTTCCCAGATCTTCATGAAAATAGCATTTCTGTTCACGAATCAATGTGTGCATCTTTCTAGAAACTACAGGGTGCTTATGTGTACAGTTACCTTGATGCTAAATAATTAAATAGGTAGATTTTCCAGGGGGACTTCTGTCTAGCTAGAGTATTTAAAATAACCTATTCTCAGGGTCTACTTAATCTTAACTAAAGATAGGTAAAGAACTCCTGCCAGCCCAATGGTTGAGTGCTCAACTGCTCACCAAAAGGTTGGCTGTTCAAATCACATCAGACTGCTTACCCACACCCCTGGGGAAGGACCATAAAGACTGCCACCGAGAGAACCCTGTCCCTGCTACCTGCGGTCGCTGGGAGTCCAAAATCAACTGAAGGGCACCCAGCAGCGAGAAGAAGTAACCAAACTCATAAATCAGGCTTAAGAAAATAAATGATTACATTCTTCTGAAAAATGGGAAGCAATAATTCTTTAGTCTCCAGATATAAATTCCCAGAATTTTCAAGTTCAGTTAAAGACCAGGCTTGAACATAAACACAAAGTGTTACGTGGTACTTCAAGCAAAGTTCATCCTACTTAACAGGTGTCCAGTGAGCATGCCCTTTATTGTGCACAATTTCAAATTCTAATACTGTCTTCTCTGATGGACTAAGTACCACTTAGTACATCACTAAAGAGTCTTTAAATTTATTTTGGAGAAAAAAATATAGATATTCCCCTAGGGATAACTTAGTTGTTTTGTTTTTAATTTCATATTTAGTCTTGGAAATACCTCATCTTGAGTTTTAAGTAATTGGGGAGCTATCATGTTACTTATGGGGGGAAATTTCATTATTCTTTTTGAGTTTATAGCAGTTTGTAAAATAAGATTATTGTCTATATTGCCATTATTTGATGATTAATGAAATATTTAAAAAATGCTTTTTTTATTGAAAAAGACATGATTGTGTTTGAGACAGAAAGTAGAATGATGGGACACGCAAAAACCTCTATCAGAAGTCCACAAGGAGTGAAATTAAAATTAAGACGTATTAGGTTAACTAGATTTAGGTAAAAATCTTATCTTTTAAATTAGTAGAATGGAACTCATGGATTGCTTTAATAGAGCTGGACATTGGGATAAAATTTAATATTACCAAATAAGGTGTTTGGTTTTTTTTTAACCATTCTCTAGACTGTTCCATGAATTCCTGTGAACAGTACACCAGTGGTTCTCAACTTGTGGGTCGAGACTCCTTTGGGAGTCAAATGACCCTTTCACGGGTCGCCTAAGACCATCGGAAAACACATATTTCTGAAGGTTTTAGGAACGGAGACACCACTCCTCTATCCGTCTCCAGGCGGGTCTGCCCACGTGCAGATACGCCCACCTAGGAGTACCCAGCGTGGAGACTGTTACCCATGCTACTCCATGATTCAAGACAAAATTTCATTGATTGGTCATTAGAAATCAATATTTCACAATATATAATTACATATTGTTTTGTGATTAATCACTATGCTTTCATTATGTTCTTTTTGTTATAATGAAAATATATCCTGCATACCAGATTCATAACAGAAGCAAAATTACGAAGTAGCAATGAAAATAATTTTATGGTTGGGGGTCACCGCAACGTGAATTGTATGAAAGGGTTGTGGCATTAGAAAGGTTGAGAACCACTGCAATTCACAGAAAAATAGCTTGTAATTGCCTACCACAGCATGCATGTACATTTTGTAAGTGGCACTTTTCCTTAGAACATCTTCATAGATGTCTCTATAGGCAGATTAACCCGTCAACATTTTTTCTAATGTAAATGGGTTTTGAAAGTATCCTCCCAAAATGAAACCTTAAATATCATAGTTAATTTTAGTAGCCAAATTCATAAGCTACTCAAAACTGCATGAGAATCATTACTGTTCACGGCTCCTTTCGATGGTTACTGATGTTCTCTCCCATGCCAGTGCTCGTAAGTGGCGTCTTGCAGAAGGCCTATGTAGAGTTGAGTGTTACCCTGGGGGTGAAATGTGTTCTTTTTAAACATTGCCGTTTGTGCTTCCCTGACTTTTAATTACGATGCTGTCGTATATTAGCTGGAAGAGCTTTCTTAATTTATATGCCTCGTGTACCACTTTTAAAATTTTTTCTTTTAAGAGCTAGAGCATTTTTATGTTTTATTTTAATCCTCTGTGCGTGGTGGGAGGGGCAGGGAACAACCTGGCACTCAGTTTTGATGGGGTTTTGTCAGATACGACTTTAAAAATCGCTGTCAAAAGGACTCTTTAAATAAGGATCGTTTTCTGATGACTTTTCACTATTGTTGGTGTTATTCATACATTTTATATAAATATGTCAACTTCTGTTTATGAATTTGGTACCCAATGCTACAGAAATTTGATAGAATTTTCCTATCTTATCCAACAAATACTTCTGTTGTGTTTTATTTTTTTAAATCTAACTCCCTATGCACTGTTTTTACTTTGGCAAAGAGCTGTTTGGTTTGGGGGCAGGTAGGAAAAATGAAAGAAATGCTTTAGGATTATAGCAGCCCTGAAACATTTTATCGTTTCTTCTCCCTCGTTGGTTCTGAATTTTGGTGACAGGTGTATTTCTTAATGCAGATGTGAAAAACAGTAGCTCCGTATCGAATACATTGACAAATGGATGTGTCATCAATGGACATTTGGACTTCCCCTCCGCACCACAGCTCAATGGAATGGAAAACGGAAATGGCCAGTGTTTAACAAGATCTAATGGAATTAGCAATGGACTCGTTCCGGGACTGCCATTGATGAGTGGCCGGGGTTCTCTCTCTGTTACTGGCACAGAGGAGCACGAAAGGACTGTGCATGCCAACTCTGATATGTGCGGTGCTCTGCACCTGAACGGGAGTCCAAGTAGCTGTGTGGCTAACAGACCTTCCTGGGTAGACGACATTGGGGAGAATTTGAACTATGGACACTACCATGGGTTTGGGGACACTGCTGAAAGCATCCCTGAACTTAATAGTGTTATAGAGCATTCCAATTCTGTGAAAGTGGAAGAACGATATGACAATGCTGTTTTGGGTACAATGCACCTTTATCATGGCTCATAAGAGCTTCTGGCCTATTCTTTATCCAAAGTACATTCGTTCTTCCTGTTAACCAACTCAGAATATTAATGTAGCATTAATTTGAAGGAATGCCACGACCTGTACTATTTTATATATACACTTGTTTAAAGAAGGAACCTTTTATTTATCAGTTTCCGAGTTAGTGTGTGCGTGAGTGAGTAGGGCTGATGTAGTGCAGAGGTGCATAAACAGTGAGAGAGCGGCTCTTCTAAGAGATGTGCTTTGGGGATTGAGTTTTCCTATCTAAATAAAACTGAGCAGAAATCATCACATTTCCTTTTGTCAAATTATATCTGATCAAGATGAATTAGGCCGTTAATGTGGTGCCTGGTAACCTGTCTACGTTTATTTGCACACGAGCATCATCTTGAAGAGCTTGCGTTCACACCTTGTTGCGTTCAGGACAGAACACAGCTATTTCCCTATGCAAGATACAGCCTTACAACAGATCTCTTGTAGCGATTTGTACGAAGCCAAGAGCTTAATGTCTTTCTCATTGTCGTTTGAACTTACTTTGTAATTCACCCTGTGGTAGAGATCTTAATTGTATACACGCATCATGGTTGGGGTATCAGTGGTCTCCCTTCAGTCATGTGAAGTAGATCACTGCATTTTGTTTTTCACTGAAAATAGGGTCAGCCTGGGACTTCTGAGTTACTTTCTTTTTATTCTGCATTTCCTTACTTTGTCTCTAGATCTTTTACCACAGAGAACAGTTTCCTTTTTATGTAGTAGACATTATCTATCTGTAGGCCCTGTCAGGTGAAAACATTTAAGTATTTGACTAATATTTTCTTTTTTCCTTGTTTTTAATTTGGGGGGGGGGTGTTCTGCTTTAAAATATATACTGCTATGTATATCTGTAACAGAATTTTAGATCTCTTGATGAAACTGCATTATGTTTATGGTTTTTTAGATGTTAGCTTTTGTTTAGACAACTTAGTTACACTGCAAATACTGTAATGAATTTTTACTTTTCTGATTTTTTTGTAATAAAAATAGGTGAAACATAAAAAGTCAAAGGGATAAACCAGTGTACTAAGAGTGTTATTAACATTTTGCTTTAAAACTGTCCTTTACAAACTGAATAAAAAGTCCTTACATTGACTTTGTCTCCGGGGTGTCCTCTTTGGGGGGAGGGTGGGGGTGGTCAGGGACAGACTGGGAAGGAAGATGGAATTTTTTTTCCCCCATTTCATTTGGTTGTAAGGGTTTACTTTTTTCTTTGGATTATCACCATATAATAATTGGATATACTTTGATTTATTAATACCATAAAACCTGTGAAAACCAGAACTTGACCGTACTGTCATGTTTTCCTAAGGATCTCAAGTTTTCTGTATGGACAGAGTGTAATCTTAATCACTTTTCTACCATTTCTGGGGAAATACTTGGATTTTCTGTCTCTGATAAGGCCTGGATTTTCTGTCTCTGATAAGACCTCTCCTGACACAGGTTCCAGATTTCACAAGCTGTACTGTATTCTAGTTTTATGGACACACTGCCTTGATGAATCTGTTGAATGGATGCTGTTCCAGCCAATGTCAATGAAAGAAAGTCTTTATATAAATTATAGTTAGTAGATGGTGACAAAGTAACCATTCTAACATGCCTACATATTATTTAAAGCATTCATTAATTTATGCATATCCTTGTTATAGACTGCCAAGGGAGTATTGGTCTTTGAAAGTATTGCATCAAAGGGATCAGGTTATCAGGCATCATCAGAACAAAAAAATCAGTGAGTGGGGGCAGGGGTGCGGAGTGGAGACCCAAAGCCCATTTGTAGACCACTGGACACCCCCTTACAAAAGGGTGGGGGAGGAGACGAGCCCGTCAGCGGATGTAGCAATGATGAAACATACAACTTTCCTCTAGTTCCTAAATGCTTCCTCCTCCCCAACCATCATGATCCCAATTCTACCTTACGAATCTGGCTAGACCAGAGGATGTACACTGGTACAGATAAGAACTGCAAACGGGATCCAGAGCAGATGATCCCTTCAGGACCAGTGATGAGAGTGGCGATACTGGGAGGGTGGGTTGGAAAGGGAACCGATTACAAGGTCTACAGATGTGACCTCCCTGGGGGACGGACAACAGAAAAGTGGGTGAAGGGAGACGTCGGACAGGACAAGATATGACAAAATTTATAAATTACCAAGGGTTCATGAGGGAGGGGCAAAAATGAGCTGATGCTAGGGGCTTAGGTGGAGAGCAAATGTTTTGAGAATGATGAGGACAATGTACAAATGTGCTTTACACAATTGATGTATGTAAGGATTGTGATAAGAGATGTATAAGCCCCTAATAAAATGATTTTTAAAAATAGCATTGCATCAAAAAATCCTTTTTTTGGAGCCCAGAAAGGGTCAGGTCAGTACGTGGTACTTGTGCCCCCACTTCTCAGTAAGCAAGGCCAAACCAGACTGACCTTGAGACCTTTATAACAGACTGATCCAAGACACCAAAATATTAGTTTGTAAGAGAAATGGAATATAAGGGCATTCTCTGGACTAGTCTTTAAATTGTATGTTAGAGAGTTCGTTGTGAATTTTAAAAGTTTACCAAAAACTGTTAGGCAAATCTCTCAAAGCACTAAGGATCAGAACTTTTGATTAATTTTGGAGTAGATGGTCAGCCTCTGGTTTTCTTGGGGCAAAAGTACTACTACTGTACGGCAACAGCCACGCTTCATACATAATTAATTGATAACCAGATTAAATTATTCTGTCAAGAGTCATCTGCACTCATGCATAAAGTTCTTACTTAGACATAGGAAACTGTAGATGGGATTATACCTAGAATTCACTCCGAAGTACAGGAGGAGTGAATAGAGATTTGATTTTTTTTTAAAGATAGGTTGTGAGCTGGTACAGCAGTGGGAGGCTTCAAAGGTTGGTAAATTTCTTTCATTATCTTTTAATTCCATGTTTCCATGAACTTTGTGAAGCCTTGTATTTTCTAAACCAGTTGGTGGGTGTGTGAAGGTTCTTTATACTCTATTTTGTATATGTTTTTAGCTTTTTGGTTTCTTATTTGGTTTTTTATTTGGCTTTTAAGAGGAATTTTTTTGGCTTTTAAGAATCCTACTTTGGTTATCATTAACAATGGCCAAAAATAAGCTGAAATTCTAGACTGTCACCTCGTGTCCTTATTACCTATTTTGTAGCAGTGTGGCATATCCCATTCATGTAAAACTATTTCAGTTAAAAATAATTGGAATTGTACAATGTTATTTGAGCTATTAAAAACTTTGCCTTAGTAAAGGCAAAGGAGAGCTGACATTGAATTTAACTTCCTGTACTGTCTAGACTTCTATTGTCTAAATTTAGTGGTTGGTTTTCCCATTTGTATTCTTTACTGTCACGGAACCTTCTCTATATTTGCTGATAGAAAGTTTTCTTACTTGTCTTTTTCTGAGTAATAAATAGTTACCAAAGTTACGTTCATGCAGAACTATTAGTACAGCTCAAAGACCCTTTTGCCCTCCTTCATACTAGCCACAAACAGGAAAATGAAAAAACATTTTAAAAGCTTATTTACACAGAACCATAGACTACCCAGGGAATGGTCTTACCGGAAGATGCAGAAGACATCTATGGAAATGACTGCTGATGAGGGGGAGAAGCCCCAACTCTGCTTCAGTTGGGGCCTCGTAGAACAACCTGGCCTCACAAAAACAAGTACTTGGGAAAGTATGGGATATTTTAATAGTATTGTCAGTTAGTTCTGAGCCTTTGATACCGACTGAAACTGGTGGGGTGAGGAAGAAACCTTAAAGAAACAAACGCCATTAAGTCAGTTCTGACTGCTAGTGACCAAAGGGCAGAGGAGACTCCCTCTGGGTTCCCAAGGCTGGGGGTCTTTATGGAGTAGAACAGCTCTCTCCTGCGGGGTGACTGGGGGGTTTAAACTGCTGACCTAGTGAGCAGTCCTCTGTGCCCCTCTAAACCACCAGGGCGCCTCCAGAGAGGTCGTTTTTTTTCAAGGTTAGTTGTACAGTCAGAAACTACTAATGAGCTTCTAATACTGTTACATTAAACCTTTCAATCATTTACCTTGTATTTGAAATAGATCTTTTATCTGTGCGTGATTTCATATCATTAGTTAGGAGTCAAAATGGTTTCCAAAGCAGCTGGTTCGCTTTCGTGAACATTTGGAAAACTACTGCAAACTGCATAACGAATGCCTAACTTGCAAAATCTGCACATTTTCAAGTGTTGATGTGAGGGATCATTAGGAAGTTCACAGGAAATGCATACTATGAAGCTACTGGATTTCAATTGTTACAAAACTAAACTCACCCTAACTTGCCGTGACATGTCGGAACAGGATCTCTTGCATCGTACCCATGCAAGAACAAGTATCAGATGTATGGTCGGGCTGGGGTGGTCTGAGCATGGTGAGATCACGGATGCTTTCCTAAAAGTTTATGGGGGAAATGCCCCCAAATCAATCAGCCCTTTATAAATGGGTAATGCGTTTCCAGAAAAGAAAGACAATGTTGAAGATGAACCTTGCAGGGGCAACCCAAACACGTCGATTTTCGACAAAACTGTCTCATGGGTGCCCTTAACATCAGAAACAGCAGCCAGCGACGTCTCCTGTGTCTGCATCGTACCCAAGCCAGTTACAGAGCCTTCGGGGGAAGTTTGAAGCATGTGGGACCAAGATTCTGACACATTTTCCCCCAAGCATTGTAACGAGGGGTGACACATGGCTGTACCAGTACACGCCGGAAGACCGCACAATCAGAGCGGAAGCACCAAGAGACCGGAGTCCTATCAAAGCAGAGTGGACGGGTCAGTGGGGGCCGGGAGTGGGGTTGCAACTCACCCTTGAGAAAAACGCTGTTACTGACAGAGACCCAGGGGAAAATATGCCTGGTATTCCCTTCCTAAGTGGGCACTTTGGACCTAGGTCTTGTCCAGCCCCTGATAACGCAGGTGAAATGCTTTAAACAATTGGGACAGTAGACTCTGCCCTGCGCGGCACCCTTCATAGACCACACCAGAGACGTTCTCCGCAGAGCCGCCGCGGTCTCCTGCTTCAACAGCGCTTGAACGGAACCCGGCGCTCGCCAGCCTCCCCCCGCCAACCGGCCGCCCAGCCCGCCGCCCAGCAGCACCTCTCCGCCTCCTCTCGACGCCCCCAGGCCTCCACCGCCGCCATGACCGCGTCTGCCTCGCAGGGGCGCCAGAACTGCAACCAGGACTCGGAGGCCGCCATCAACCGCCAGATCAACCTGGAGCTCTACGCCCCGACGTCTACCTGCTCACGTCTTACTACTTCCACCGGGGATGACGTGGCTCTGAAGAACTTTGCCAAATAGTTTCTGCACCAGTCTCAGGAGGCGAGAGAACACGCCGAGAAACTGATGAAGTTGCAGAACCAACGAGGGGGCCGGATCTTCCTCCAGGATATCAAGAAACCAGACCGTGACCCCTGGGAGAGTGGGCTCAACGCCACGGAGGGTGCGCTGCACCTGGAGAAGAGCGTCAACCACTAAGGAAACTAGGCTTTACCTTACATCCACTTGCAGCAGATCTCAAGAGCTGAAGTACTCCCTTGAACGTAAAACTTAAAATGCCCTAGTGGGAGGTGAAGCACATGATAGCTGCCCCAGGGAGAGGGAATTGGTGGTCGTTGGACTTCGATTTGGTTTGGACCTATTGCTTTGGGGGGACCCAGTGAAGGGAGACCTGGGACCAACGTATACTTGTTGCTTTCCTGCTCTCTGCTTTTTTGAAACGTGTTAACCTAGTAGGTTCTGCTCGGTAAATGAGTGTTACTGAAATCGGCTGTTCAAATTAACAATTCATGCATTATTACAGCCTAAAAGAATGTCCTACACATGTAGTATAATCACTTTTCTTAACAGTGTTTTAAATTCTATACCATTGACTAAAATAATGATAATATTATAGCCCCATGGGGATGATTTACGATGCACTCCAGTAAAATGATAATGTCTATGAATGAACCAGAAATACATATGAACTATAGATATGTGAATGGTGTTTGAACTCCCATTTAATCACAGCCTCAGTGTTGGAACAATGAGTTCTTGTGGCGTGGCTCTGCTTGGTTGTCACCCTTGTGAG